CCTTAAAGCAGGTGTTGGGGTTGATGCTGGGGACACCTCAGTGTGAGACCCAGACACACCTCAAGGACCCGTGGGGCAGTCAGCCCAGCCAGGACGCAGGCATCTTCCCCCAACCCCCTGTTGGCTGCCACCTTGTCTGTCTGCCCTGTCCACCCAGCCACCTGTCTGTCCATTTCTGCAGTCTTGGCTCCTTCCACTCACTCAAGCAGGGTCCAGCTTCCTAGGGAGGAAGCCAGCAGCCTGGATAGGGTGGGTTGTCTAGATCCCAGAAAGAGTCCAAGCTCAGAGACAAGGGTTTTGAGGCTGATCTGGAGGAGCAGAGGCCGCAAAAACCATGCCCTGGGGTGGATACAAGACCTGAGTCCTCCCTGGCCTGTGTTTGGTACACCTCCATGGCTCTGGGCCTTCACCTGTAGCCTGCCCTTGACTCATCCCCCTCCTCTCCATCCTGTCCCACCCATCTTGGCCATCAGAGGGACTCTGCTCCAGCCTGTCCCTCTGCAGTCAGACACCTGGACAGAATAGCAGACAACCCCGTCTGAGTCCCTCTGAGGCCCCTTGCCTTATGAACTTGTAACAGAGCAAAGCCCCACACCTGCCCTCACCTGCTCTCCTTCCCCTCCTCTCTGGGGTTTCCCTCTGGCTCTGCTGCATTAGCTGTCCCTGTGAAACTGCTGTGTGTACCCCAGGGCAGTCATCCCTGCTGAACTTCCCAAATCTGTCCTAGCCCGAGAGCCAAATGTGTAACCAACCCCAAGCCATCTCCCTGGCCCAGGGTATACTACTCAAGGGTTCTGGGGAGGAGGGAGTGAAGGCAGGAGGGCTCTGGCCAGGACTTGGTCAACTGAACTTGGGCCTCAGTTTCCCCACCTGTGCAGCGAGGGGTGGGGAAAGGACCTGATGCCCACGGGGCCCTCCCTGCAGGTGGCGCCTGGGTGGTATCCGGAGCTACAACCCGGAGCAGATCATGCTGAGTGCTGCGGTACACAGGAGCAGCCGGGATGTCAGCATCATGAAGGAGAAGCTCATCTTCTCAGGTGCGTGGTCCACAGCGGGGCTGAGGCGGCAGCATCCGCTGATGTGCATGCATATTCACACTTAGGTAAGGGCACAGGTGAACGCAAACCTATCTGGCTCAACCCGCACCCCTCCACACGTGCACACACACACAGACATACCTCCCATGCACAGCCATCAGCTGCCTATCCCCGTGTGGCATCAGTGGTAGGCAGGGTGTCAGGGCAGGGCCAGGTCAGAGGAACCTGTTTTGAAGCCCACCCCGCTTATCCAGCTCATACACAAACCCCACAGGTGTTCATTTCCACTCCTCTTCACTGCCAGTCCCTGATGGCATGACCGGTCTAGTGGAGAAGACAGCTGTGTAAACCAAGACATGCAAAACTGGGGTGTCACAGAGCTCTCCAGAAAGGGGAGACTAGGGACAGAGGGGGCCACTGGAGCTTCCTGGGATGGTGAGGGAGGGTGTGGGTGACTGACAGGGCAGTGGGCATGAGGAGAGGTGCTGCAAGCAGGAGCTGAGACGGCCTTCCACACCATTCCTCAGGCTGAGCTCCCACGCAACAGACCCTCCCAGAGCTCCTGTCCTGTGCCCAGCACCCTATCCTGGAGGTGCTGGGTACAATCAGGGCAGAGGAAAGCAGGTGCTGCCGCCCTGATGGCTATGGCTGCCCGAGAGGCTAAAGAGACACAGATGAGACTTAAGCCAGATTTTACTGACAGTGCAGATCACCCAACCACTGGCTCACTCCACAAATACCCACAACACCCGAGGCTGGGCTAGGCCAGAGACAGAAGCCTGAACCTCAGCCTCGGTCTCCTATATGGGTGGGAGCGCTTTAAGCAGTTAAGTCATCATCCACCTGCTACCTACCAGGGTGCACATTAGCAGGCAGTCAGAATTGCGGGTGGAGCTGTGCACTCTAATAGGTAGTACAGGCATCACAAGTGGTGTCTAAGATTTCTGTTTATGTGAAAGGTAGAGTGACAGACAGGGAAAGGTGCAGAGATCTATTTGCTGGGCTGCTACTTGAATGACCACAATGTCCAGGGCTGGGACATTCCAAAGGCAGGAGCCAGGAACTACATTTGAGTTTTCCATGTGAGTGGCAGGGGTCTGAGTACTTGGAACCATCTGCTGCTGCTTGCCCAGGTACATTAGGAGGAAACCAGCTCGGAGGCAGAACAGCCATGACTTGGTATGGGTGTCCCATACAGGCACTTTGACATAGGATGCTGTTGTCACAAGCTTGACTTGCCAAGCCACAACACCAACTCCTGAGAGTAGTGTCTCAACCACTGCACCAAAAGCCTCCCAGGGACAGATTTTAAGACAGGGAGGTCACTCCCAACGGGGTGGCCAAGCTTAGGGGACAGTGCAGATGGCTTTCTGGGACTGACAGGTGGGGTTCCAGGGACACAGCAAACTGAGGTGAGGTCAGTGGTTCCATCAGAGACAGAGCAGAGCCCTGGGTTTCAGCAGCTTGCTCAGCCTCCTGCTTCCCCCTCACTTGCTGTCTCTCTGCCTCCTCTCAGAGATCAGTGATGGCGTGGAAGTCTCCGATGAGCTCTCTGTGTGTTCGGACAACAGTTACGACACCTATGCCAACAGCTCTGCTACCCCTCTGGGGCCCCGAGGGGGTGGCGGCCGCACCAGGACCCTCACAGACTTGAGTGGGCGTTAACTGAAGACCTGTCTGTCCCAGCTTGGCAACATGCTGGGGGAACCTGGGAGAGCAGACGGGAGAGGATCTGGACTCCCGGTGCTTTGGCAGCTAGCTCCATGGCCTCTCCTGGCATCGGATCCTCCCTAGGTCAGGTCCCCTGCCTCTTGGCTGCCCCGGCGGGCCTGGGGCTTTTTCTAAGAAGTGCAGGGTTTGGGGCCCAGGATCCCTCCCTGCATCTACGCCTGGTTCTCTGGGCTACGGAGGAAAGGATGCTCACTCCGCTGTCCCTCCCCACTCCCGTTCATCTGTCCTGTCCACGCCTACAAGGTGACTGACTTCTCCCATGTGTCCTGCCTCAAGGGCCTGGGCTGGGCCTCTGCCCTCGGTGGCTCTCCCCTCTGGTCAGTCTCAAAGCACAAGGAGGTTTCACCCAGAAGGAAGGCCAGCTGCAGTGGCGTGGCCTCCTCCCAGACTGGCCTTCCGCCCCCATCAGGGCCCTGCCAAGGAGAGGGCCCGAGCCGTGTGCCCCAGGAGCAGCTGATGTGGACAGAGATGCCGAGATCCACAGACTGGGAGACTGCAGCTCCCTGCTGCAGAGTCCACCTGGGACGAGTGTCCTTGGGGCTTGGTCAAGAGTGGGCCTGCAGTGCAGAGAGCCTGTGGGCCTTGGCCAGGACAATTAAAGCTGCCATCTGGACACGTGTTGTGTGTGCGCCGCCAGTGGGAGGGTGGGCCTGGGCATCACTTGAGAATTAACCAGGTTCAAGGATGAACAGGAACATGGCAGGACAGCTAGGCCCCTACTGGAGCAGTGCTGGGCTCAGGAACCCATGTCTTCATACTGTGATGGACCACAATGGGAGAGGGGAGGGGACTGCCCAAGGCCACATGGCTGGGAACAGGCAAAACCAGAATCCCAGCTAGGAATGGCGCCGGAAATAGGGAGGGCTCCTGGGTCTGATGTAGGGAGTGGGGTTAGCAGGCCCCCTTGTGGCCACAGAGGGGCAGTCTAAGCCCCCTGGTGGGGTCGGGGTAGTGGGGGAGCAGGGACAAGCTCTCCATCCAGAGACACCTCTTCCCCTAAACAGGGTTTGTATTTGGACCTGACCTTATGTCCAATACAGTGCGGGCATCTGGGCTGAAAGCCAATAAAGCCCTGGGACCACAGCTGCTCAGCCCCCAGCCCAGTTCCTAATGCTTCTGCCCTCTGTGGGAAAGGGCTGGAGCGGGGGAGGGGGCGCAGGTCAGGGTAGGTCCGTAAGTGGAATCTTGGCCCTCTGAGTCCATTTGGGCTCAGGTGTGTACTGGAGAAAGGTGGGTAGGCTGGCCCCCTAGTCCCAGCCTCTGTTTAACAAATGCTGTGCTTCCAGACCTCTGGCTAATCGTCTCTGGGTCTCAGAGAAGGTGAAGAGCCAGCCTCCTACCAGTGTGGAACCTACCCTGGGCCCCCACATTCCACTCAGGCACAGGGATGCCCCCTCCTCACCTGCTGCTGACCAGCTGAGCCAGTAAAGCCCAGAGACGCAGGGCTGCTTTGCCCTCCCGCAGTGACCCTGGTCTCCTGAGTGTCCTAGCAGGCTGCTAGGACAGGCAAGTGCCAGGGGTCCCTCTCTTTCCTGTTTGGAGGACCAGGGCCCAAGCCATACTCCTACTGGCTTTGAGGAAATCCAGTTCCCTCATAGGCCCCTTGGTCCTTTGTGGAGGGAGGGAGTGTGACCCAGCACCACCCCAGAGCTGCCATGAGCTCACCTGCCCAGCCAGCCCAGTACTGAAGCCAACCCCTCTCTTGACCACTGTGCACACAGTCCATGGGGGACCCCTGCCTCTGGCACCACACGAACCATGAATTAACACACTGTGACACCCACAGCCCAGAGATACAAACCTCTGCCACACACAGAAACAGACTATCACAGAGACTGGGCCACGCAAAGCTGCGCGACATCACGCCTACTGTTCAGCCAGTGCTGGAGCAAGTGAAGGTTCAGAGATGAACAGGAACGTGGCAGGATGTGGCAGAAGCAGGTGAACGACAACCACTAACTGTGGCAGAACGTATCCATAGCCACACCCCACACAATTACACCCCATCTGCCCGGGCCAACATTGGGTTACCCCAATCCTAAGCCCATCAGACCCCGGAGTTGCATGCACACAATCTATCCAACACGTACTCCTACCTCCTCCCTCCCTCCCTCCTGGGGCTGGCCCAAGAGTGGAACAAAAGCCTGGCATCCCCCTCTGCCCCCCTTCCCATTCTGCTCTCCCCTCCCCCTGGAGTCCAGCCCCTTTGTCCTCTCAGCTGAGCTGCAGCATGAGTCTGGGCAGAGCACAGGGACATTAGAGCCTGGCCGGTCAGGGGTGTGTGTGGCAGGCACAGCCGGGGGAATCCCTGCAAGAGCAGCAGCTGCAGAGCACCTGGGAAAGGGCCTGGCCAGGTAAGCACCAGGTACTTCTGGGGCAGGGCTACCCTGGCTGTGTTATGTGTACTTGTGTGGTACGTGTGTCTAAAACAGGGGGATGGGATGGTTCAGTCAACTTCTACAGGCTGAGCCTGCATTGTGACCCTCAGCTGCAAGTGCCTAGACTTAGCCACCCTGGGAGGCTGTTCACCAAGCCCTACAGGGATTCCTGACCTTCCATGGGTCCTCTGGCCCCCAAACTGGGAACCCCCGCGGTGGAAACTGGTCTGATGCCCCTGTGTCCACAGCGTCTGGGGTAAATGGCAGTAGAACGAGCAAGAAAGCACTGCCACACTTCCTGGGAGGGAATGCCCGCCCTCCCTGCAGGAAGCCCCTGGTGCTGCAGGACACCCATGGGGAGGGTCAACTGCTAGGCTGATGACCCCTGCCCTTCCTGGGTCTCCAAGGAGCTGTCCCTAGGGCCAGCACAGAACAGAGGAGGAGGGGAGTGCTCTGATGACCCCGCTGACCCTCTCAGTTGACCTCAGGCTGCTGTCCCCAGACAGAGGCAGCCAGGCCTGCAGATCCTGGAGTCTGGCCAGCCCCTGCACTTGAACTCCCGAATCCATCAGGGTCTCATTGTTTGTGACACTGCCTACAGTGGTCCAGGCTGACCGCCCTTTCCAGGGCAACGATCTGGCCTGCCTGCAGGGGGAGCAGCAAAGCAGCCTGGATCAGAGCAGCTGCCTCCAGTCTGGGAGGTGTGCTAGCAGAGGCGATGGGTTCACCACAGCCAGTGGTAAGGTAAGCAGCAAGGGACAGCCGGCTGTGACTGCATCTACCAAGGCCGTACCTCTGGTCCTCGTAGCAAACCCCTGGCGGAAAGGCACACTGAGCCTTTCCCCGTGACAAAATAGAAAAAACCAGATGGACTCAGTCCAAAGACACATCTCACACAGAGGGAACGGCAGGATTAGGACCCCAATCTGGTCCCTAGAGAGTTTACTGTAGTTTCTGCCAGGTCCCGCCTTCAGGAAAACAAGAGAATGCCCCAGAAAAAGGGCAGCTGCCCATCCCGCTTGGTGCTCCACCCCTACCCTCTACCTCCCACCTTCAAAGAGGATGCACTTTACTCCATCCACTCCTAGCCCCTCGCCTAATCCCACCCACCCCTCCTTTTCAGCTTGAAGCTCCCCTCCCTCAGGGATGCCTCCCCTGTCTCTCCTCCAAATGGGTTTACCGTCCACCCCTCCACAGCTCCCCTAATATTCTACACTTCCCTTGAGACGCCTGCCAAGTCAGGAGTTCTGGAAGGTGAGAACCATGGCTGCCTTGTTTGCTGCCCGACACAGAAATGGCACTTGAGAACATACCTGTGAACAATCATCACTCGACTCTGCACAGGTGTTTCCTACCTGTATCTGCAGGTACCATCTGTGCCCTGCAGATGAAGATAGGAAACACCTTGGCGGGCAGGTCTGAAAAGCAGAATGCAATGTGCTGTTACCTTTGAGCAGGCGAGGGAGAACGAAGATACCACTGGGCCTAGACCCTGGGGTGGGCGGGTAGGCAGGCAAGCAGGTAGATAGGTAGGTACCAGACAGGCTGGGCCAGGATCGCAGGCCAAGGCAGGAAGGGCAAGTGATGGAAGCACGCATGGATGAGGCCTCCGCCGGTCCCCAGACAGTGTACTTCTGGTCCCTGTTTGTACTCTTTCCCCAGAAGGATGCGGGAGCTCCCAGGACGCGAGGAGACGGTGTCGGGCTGCACAGCTCCGTGCGCCGGGTCCTGCCACGCGCAGCGCCTACTGCAGTCCCTCAACGCCTTCCGGCGGAGCGGCACCCTCACCGATGTGGTGCTGCACGCTGGCGGCCGTGACTTCCCATGTCACCGCGCCGCGCTCAGCGCGGGCAGCACCTACTTCCGCAGCCTGTTCGCTGCCTCCGCCACGTCCAGGTATCCAGAGCGCAGCCCAGCCCTCGTGCCCGTGGAAGTACCTGGTGGCGGGCCTGCCGCGGCGGCGGTGCTGGGTGCCGTGCTCGACTACGTGTACGGCGCGGGCGTGCGGCTGCGCGCCGAGGACGAGGCGGCCGCCGTGCTGGCGCTGGCGGAGCGGCTGGGCGTGGCGGGCCTGCGCGACGTCTGCGCGCGCTTCCTCGAGGGCCGCCTGCGTGCGCACAACAGCCTGGCGCTGCGCCGCGTGGCCGCCGCCTTCTCCCTCGCGTCGCTGGCCGAGCGCTGCAGCCGTGTGCTGCGCCAGGCCTTCGCCGAGGTGGCGCGTCACGCAGACTTCCTGGAGCTGGGGCCGGACGAGGTGGCCGCGCTGCTGGCGGACCCCGCGCTGGGCGTGGCGCGCGAGGAGGCGGTGTTCGAAGCGGCCATGCGCTGGGTGCGCCACGACGCCCCGGCCCGCCGCGGCCAGCTGCCGCGCCTGCTGGAGCACGTGCGCTTGCCACTGCTGGCACCTGCGTATTTCGTGGAGAAGGTGGAGGCGGACGATCTGCTGCAGTCCTGCGGCGAGTGCCGACCGCTGCTGCTCGAAGCTCGCACCTGCTTCATCCTGGGCCGAGAGGCAGGATCACTGCGGGCGCGGCCACGCAGGTACAACCACAGCCCTCTTGCCCTTTGCTGTTTGTGTGGTTTCCAGCCACTCATTCCATTATTCTTCTGACCACATAGTTGCTTTTCTTGGTCCCGAGTCAGCAGTCCAGGGCGGGAGACGCAAGGAGGGCACACCTGGCACATGTTCTCTTGCCTACCCATCTGTCCAGGTCCCGATGCCTGCCCATGCAGGTCCTGTACTAGTGCATTCGGGAGTGTTGGAGAAGACCCTTATCCTCCAGCAACTCACAGATCAGTGAGGGACTTAAGTAGGTGGGTGCATGGGAAAAAGGAACAAATCTGTCCCTTGGCACACACACCTAGAGATGGGGTATGGAGCAGTCCAAGATGGTGTGCCACCCACAGGGAGACACTCAAGTCTTAGTACTTAAATCGGGCCGAATGCAGGACCTGCACCCAGCAGGGCTCCGGGAAGGCTCTGCCTCTGTAACTTGGATCTCAGAAGGATGCAGTGAGCCCTCCCTGGCTTCAGGGAAGTTACCAGGGTCCATCTGGGAACTGCAAGATGGGCACAGGCCAGCAGGCATCAGGCTTATTCTCACCCCAGGTTCATGGACCTGGCTGAAGTGATTGTGGTCATTGGTGGCTGTGACCGCAAGGGTCTCCTGCAGCTGCCTTTCGCTGACAGCTACCACCCAGAGAGCCGGCGCTGGACACCACTGCCCAGCCTGCCGGGCTACCCGCGCTCCGAGTTCGCTGCCTGTGCCCTCCGCAACGACATCTACATCTCAGGTGAGGGCACGATTCTGGTGGGCTGCTGGGAGCAGGGCTTTCCCCCCAAGGGCCCAGAGCTGGATATAGGCGTGATGCTACTCCTTAGCTGCCAAGACAGCCTGGTCAGCTTACTGGTGTTACCATGGAGTCCCCACTATAACTATGACTCCATTTAACATATGGGAGAACCCAGGCTCAGGGAGGCTAAAGTTCTCCTTATCTCAAAAAATGGCAGTGCAAGAAGACACACCATCTATTGATCCAAACACGCATGCCCTCCCCAATACCCAGAGGATGGAAACACAGTGCTTCCCTGGAGTGCTTTACCATGAGGCAGAGCTGGTTGGGGTACTCAAATGATGATCAGGGGGTCTGGCCTGGCTTCATGGGAAGAGCCAGATCTTGAATAAGGAAACAGCATAAGGCAGGCAGATGTGTGCATGAAGGAGTACCTGCCCCTAGGATGCACATGGAAGAGGTGTTACTGTAGTTGAGGCAGGAAGCATGGGGATGGGTCATTCCAAGTTTGGGGAGATTGCACTTGACAGTGAGGTGAGCTATAGGTGGAGCAGAATAAGCGAAGGAGGCTTCCGAGACCAACTGCACCACTGCTACCAGGCGATAACTGACCCAAGGCCACCTGCAGTCTCAGGGCAACATGCCAGGCCTCTGCTGGGTATCCCTGGGAATAGAGTGGGGTGCAGAGTAGATGTGGCTCAGCAGGAATATGTCCCCAAGCTGCTGACCCATGCTCTGAACAAGTGATGGGAAGCTCTGGGTGAAACCCCTTGAGGGCAGAGACCTAATGGACGAGGATGAGGAGCTGCTTTGGCTGGGTCCAGGGCTCAGGCAGAGTGGCACAGGCAGTTCTGCCCCAGTATGGGTAGGGAGCTCTAAGCCTGCATCCCAGTGCCTTAACCCACAGGGCGGGCTGTGTCCTTCAGCAGGCCCAGCAGGTCTGGTCTCTGCTCTGACCGGAAGCCCTGTGGCTTTCAGCAGTCAGTCCTGATATCTAAGCCTCACCTTGCTTTCCTGTAAGGAGACTGGAAGGAACTCTTTGGGTCACCTTGTACCTCTCCCAGGGACCAGGGCAGGCGTTCCTGCATCTCTGTGTCCAGTGCAGTTCTGCAGCCTGCCTCAGGGCCCCTCTGTACTTGTACCTTCTGAACGTTGTTCCCTCCTTGTTGCCCTGGGCACAGGGCCTGGCGGCCGGCGCTGGAACCCAGTGCAGAGCAGCAACTTCCTGCTCAGACCGTCAGTCCCCTCTCCACTCATCCTCACCTCCTGCTCAAAGCACACTGAGTCACAAACTCAGTCTTAGCACCAGCCAAGGGGGCAGTCCTTCCTCCTGTCTGCTCTCAGTTGTTCCTTTGGGTCTGGAGGCCCTTTCCATAGCTTCTTTTCTCATCCCTAGGAGGCCACATCAACAGCCGTGATGTGTGGATGTTTAGCTCCCATCTGCACACCTGGATCAGGGTGGCCTCACTGCACACGGGCAGGTGGAGGCACAAAATGGCGGTTGTGCAGGGACAGGTAGGGACTTGGAGCTGCTGCCCAGGAATGCAGGGCACCCATCTGTGCATGTCCTGGGGTGGGGGAGGTCCTTATCTAAGGCCACCTCTTTGTAAGAAGGGATGGGGGACAGGGTAAAAGGAAAAGGGACTTTTCCCAAGGTCATACAGTAACACTAATGCTAATAATAATAGCAGTTATGCGACAGTACGGCCTCCCAGTCAAAGGTGTGAGCCCTGGGCCAAATAATACGGTACAGGTTTGACCCTTGACTTGACCTTCAAAAAAAAAAAAACCTGCCTTTTATCTTTGCAAACTATAATTCAGAAATACAAACAAAAGTGCTTTTTGGATGCTATTAATAGAGGCAAATCCTTAATGAACTACCTGCTATTACTGTTAAGCAGTGTGGCGCCACCAGATGGCATTTCATGGATCTAATGTGAATTCAGTACATGTCCCAGAGATGGCTCTCATTATCTATGGCTAACCAGAGCACACTGGGCCTGGGAAGTGGTGGCAACACGGTTTGGGATGCCCTCACAGGTTGGTTCAGTCCTGAAGTTGGGAGTGGGATAGTTTCTCATCACAGACTGAGGCAGTGGGACTAAGTCAACCCCAATCCCATTCCCCTGTGGGTGTCCCTACTCACAGCTGTTTGCCGTGGGTGGCTTTGACGGCCTGCAGCGCCTGCACAGTGTGGAGCGTTATGACCCCTTTTCCAACACCTGGGCAGCTGCTGCACCCCTCCCAGAGGCCGTGAGTTCTGCGGCAGTGGCGACCTGCGCAGGCCAGCTCTATGTGATTGGAGGCGCAAGGCAGGATGGCGTGAACACAGACAAGGTAAGTGATGACCTGGGCGGGGAGACCTCAGCGGGTGAGAGGGCTTGGAGACAGGGCAAGGAGCCAGCACTTGCCTCTCACTTAATCCCATCACTAGTCACCTTCAGGTTCTGGGCAAGGAAATAAAATCAGGAAAATCACCTACAGGTTGCACAGGTCAGCAGCTCATCTAGACTTTAATGTTTTGGCTTTGAGGATGGGGTGCCGAGATGGACCTTGAAAGACAAGGCAGCTTCCCACAAGGGGAGAATAGGGCTGGAGACAGGACAGAGTAAGGTGCAGAGCCCCTGGGGACAAGGACAGTGGGGTCTCTTCTGCCTTCCTGGCCAAGCTCAGGTCTGGTGAACAATGACAGTTGTGGTGAATGTGTGTCCTGGTAACAGAGGTGGCAGGGAGCAGGGAGCAGGCAGCAGGGCGATGGGGACTGAGGCCTCAGTGCTGCCATGGTTCCTGCTCCTCAGGTGCAGTGCTTTAACCTCAAGGAGGACCAGTGGAGCCTGCGGTCACCAGCGCCCTTCTCTCAGAGGTGCCTGGAGGCTGTGTCCCTGGAGGATACCATCTACGTGGTGGGCGGCCTCATGAGCAAAATCTTCACCTATAACCCTGGCACAGATGTCTGGGGGGAGGCAGCTGTTCTTCCCAGCCCCGTGGTAAGTGGAGGCCATGGGGTAGGGCACAGGGCCTGGCACTGGTTCCATTCAAGAGTGAAACTCACTCCCCAGGGAAGCTCTGACACTCCTGCACAGAGTTCTGTCCTCAGAGGATCATCACCCTGCATTTCATAGATGACAAGACGGCCTTGGAGAGGTTGGTCCATAGCCATCTTCGGCCACACTGGAGCAGTTTAGATCCCAGCTCCATGCTATCACTTGGATTGGGGAGTCTGGTCCCATGACCCTGTATTTCCTACTGCCTAAAGGCCACAGCTGGTGGCTGAGGCAGAAAGTGGGAACAGTGGCTATCAGAGGGGAGGCCCCATCCTGGAAACTACCCCCCTTGAAACATGAGAGAAACCAGTGGCTGTCCAGTCCTGAGATCTGTGGTGTCTCAGGTGTGTGTATGTGCACACACATTGCCTGCTGTCAGTATGCTCACAGCACCCCAAGCACTGGTGATTCTGTGTCACCCTGTCAGGTGGGGAGGACATTCTGCTAAGAAGGTACTGCAGTTACTCTTCTCACCTCACAGGTGACACCAAGGTCCAGAGAGGCCAAAGGGAAGGCCCCATTACTTAGCAAGGGTCCAGCTAGACCTTGAACTCAGGTCTGTCCCATTTCCTGCCTCTGTGCCAGCCAGACTGCCTGTTCAATCTGCACAGTTCTCTTAGCCAGTCTGGCCAGGGTAGGACAAGGGAAGCCCATGTTGAAGCTAAACTGTCTTTGCCTTTGTTCCCCAGGAGAGCTGCGGCCTTACTGTGTGTGACGGGAAGGTGCATATCCTAGGCGGGCGGGATGACCGCGGGGAAAGCAGCGACAGAGTCTTCACCTTTGACCCCAGCAGTGGGCAGGTAGAGGCCCAGCCAGCCCTGCAGCGCTGCACCAGTTCCCACGGCTGTGTCACAGTCCTCCAGAGCCTAAGCAGGTGACTGCACCACATTCAGCTCCTCTTCTGGCACAGCCATGTAAGCCAGTTCTGAAAACACTGCCCTTCTTGTGGAAATAAAACCTCATGCAAAGGTTGAGTCTGTGTTCCACTCCAGGGCGGCTCCCGGTTTTTGCTCCTTACAAAGCACCTGTATCCTGCCAGTCTGTGTGGACTGCTGCAAGAATAGAACTTAGGACTTTACTTCACTCCCTGCTTGTGGCTAGAGAAGGCAGTTGAGGATGGCCCAAGGTCTTGGGACCCTGCATCAGAAGCTCCTAGCTTTATCACTTCAGATCTACCCATTGATGTCACTTGAGGAGTGAACCAACAGAAAGATCTCTCTCTCTCTCCCCTCTATGTAAACCTGATTTCCCAATAAAAATAAATCTTTTAAAAAAAAGAAAAGAAAAAATGAGCCATTTCAGGCAGAGAAAAAAATTAAGCCAACAGGGACGGGATCTTTGCTCCTATCCCTGAGGTTAATAAACAAACAGTGACAAATGCTTCTGCAGGCTCTCTCTTCCCACTTGCCTCACAGGGATAAGCACTACACTTGACATGCTGGAAGAACCATGCCTGGAACTCACTATTCCTCCGTGTTCTACAGATGAGGACCTGCCTCACTCATGTCAGAAAAATGACAAGAACTGCCCATGCGCCCTGCTGGCCTGGGTGGTCTTTCTAAAGTGCACTCTCCAAATCAAACACCTAGCAACAACTTTAAAACCAGGAAACCAGAGACAGAAGTACAGGCTTCTAAACAAGCAAACACATCAAGAGCTATAGAACAGACATGCAAATTCAAGTTCCTTTTGGGATTGCAAATTAGGGCTCCTTTTGTAAGCCAGGTCCAGGTGGAACCCCTTCTCCATGGAAGCTAAAGCAACACAACAACAAAAAAACTGATGTGGACCCAGCACTGTAGCCTAGCAACTAAAGTCCTCACCTCATACACACCGGGATCCCACATGGGCGCTGGTTCTAATCCCTGTGGCCCCACTCCCACCCAGCTCCCTGCTTGTGGCCTGGGAAAGCAGTCAAGGATGGTCCAAGGCTATGGGAAACCTGGAAGAGGCTCCAGGATCCTGATCAGCTCAGCTCCAGGCGTTGCAATCACTTAGGGAGTAAATCAGCAGACAGAAGATTTTCCTCTCTGTATATCTGACTTTCCAATAAAAATAAATCTTAAAAAACAACAAACAAAACAACTGTGGTGTGACCCAGAGCAGACATGGGGTAGAGGCTGCCAGACCTGGGGACCCAATCACCCAACTTTCATACTCCATAGCAGGTTCTGTTGTGGGTACAGCTGACCTTTCCTGTCTCAAGGAACGTGCTTTGAGTATGTCAGGGGAGCCTACACATGTTACATGCGAAGGCCTGGTCATGCTGAGTGACAGAGGGATGGTAAAGAGAAGGCACTAAAGGGAAAACAGCAACTCCAGGCTGGGCTTCAGGTGAGCTCAGGCTGACAGAGCAGGGCAGGATGCCAACACCTGGACAGGAGTACTGAGGGCACAGTACCGGGGAAAACGGGGCATTCTGCAGGCAATCTACCCTCCTGTAGCCTGGGCAAGTCATCTCTCTTTGGGCTGGGGATCCATGCTGCTCCCTTCCCCCTGCTGCCATTATCAGCCATGTCCAGATGGCCACAGCATCCCTAATCTGGGATAATCAGGGAGTCGGGGCTTTGTGCCAGGCTGTGAAGGGCCAGCCCCAGCTGGAGGGGCCATGCAGACCAGGCCCTGGGGCGTTAGACGGGGAGGGTGTCAGGAGGAAGACAGGAGTAGATGACAGCTCTTCAAAAGGCAATCAGTGCAAATGAAGAGAAGCTGCAGATGGGGTCTGGCCAGCTCTGCTAGCTTCCCCTCAAGAGACCTTTGTCCCCCACCTCTCCTTTGAGCCTATACCCCATCCAGGAGATTTATGTTGCTGTGGACACAACAGGGACTTAGAATGAGAGGGAGGTGTGGAGTTGCATGCATATGTCTAAAGTTCCTGGGCTGGCAAGGACAGGACTCCAGCCAGGCCCAGCTGACTTGGCTGTGTTTTCTGACAGAGCAGGACGTGTGTTGTAACACAAGGCTGTCACATGGATGCTCCAGTCTCCACCCTGGGAAATCTCGGCCTTCTGGGATAGCTATCATCCCTGCCCTTGGAGGCCTGCAACTAGGAAACATGGTCGCAGGAAAATAAGCAATGATACTGCACATTTTCATCTCCCAGAATGAGGTCCCTCAGGAGAGGGTCCACTGCACATCAGACCCCTGGCCACCTCCTGCATGGGAGGGGTAGCTACCCAGACCACAGGGTTTATAATTTAACAGAAGACGCCACAGACCGAGTTTAGCCATCTGTGAGGACTATTTTAGTCTCTTTTCAGTGGTCTTCAAAAAAAAAAAAACAAACCTTTACTACAGATTAAACATACGACTGTCTTGCTATTGCCACATGGGGTCATAGTGCTTTGCACTGTCTCCTGGCACCCAAAAGGTCCAGCTTTTCTGTTTCCAAGTACCAAGGGCTGCAGGATACTGTGTTCTGGGTGGACAGGAAGAACCCATCACAGTAGCTGTCCCTGGTTCAGCCCAGGTGAGATGTGGGCTTCCAACATGAGTGGAAAGGTACAGCCTGCTCTTCCCCTTGGACCTATCCCTCCACTCGAAGGAGCTTAAGTACAACCTCTTGTACTTAACAAGAAGCCACTGGCTTCTTCATGGCTTGCTGACAACTACCCTGAGGGTCTCTCCTTACCATAAGGACACCTGCCCTTTCTGATCAGGACCCCATTTTCACAACCCGATTAAAAATTTCCTCCTGAAAGGATCTTCCTGTAAACAGCTACTTTAAAGGGTGAGGCTTCAACCTATAAACTTTGAGGGACACAATTTAGTTCTTCCTAGGCAGACAGATCAAGGCAGGTGTCAAAAGCAAACTCCAGGTCTGTCACTAGGGCACAGGCAGAGTACACAGCAGGCCAACAGCACACAGGGAAGTGGTGAGGGAGAGGAGCTGTCCTTGTTTGGCACTTTGAAGGGTACAGCAGGTGGGCTTTACCTCTACTTATCTGCACAGGCAAAACATTATCGAGGACCACTGGATGGCTGTAGGTCACTGGCACGGTGGGAGCGCTTTATCTTGAGCCGCCCCCCCCCAGCCAGCAGCCCTCCACCACCATCTTCCCTAAGTTTCATGTGGGAAACGGACCACTCAGCTTCTGCTCTGGCTCCAAAAATAATGCCATTTCATCAGGAAACAGGTTCTTTAAGATGCAATTAAGAACCATCAAGATAACTTCTGAAGGGGTTGTGGCTGGGGTGACACAGAGGGGCTATAAGGTGAACTGCATTTAGCAGGCAGCTCTCACCCAAGCTCTACATTTGTCTTGTATAGATTTCTGAAAGGATTTGTTAGACCAACTCCCAAACTTCTTTAGACTGAGACTTGCTTTTCATGGTCACAGGAATGTTTCATAACTCATCAAGCTACAACCTACTAATCATTTCCATACTTTCCTGTCACAAGTCCGTTACTACTGAAGTAATTTCCTTTGTTACAGCACCATCTGGTGGAACATTAGTAACATCCCACTTTCCAATTTCAAGTGTAAAACTGAATATAGAAAACCCATTAGACAAGCAATTTAAATCACCTTAACTAATACACCACACTAAGATCTTATGTGGGGCCAAGACTGTTGTAAGCTGTTTCTAGCACCCAGGACTGTGAATATTCAAATCAACTGAACTAACCCACAAGTTCAGAAGTATAGGAAGCAGCCTTACAAAGACTAATATCTTAGACTTTTAGTTCCTATGGCAAACAACAGCTTGACAGCTGCTTCTATTAGATCTGGGAGATGAGCTGGGGCGCGGGCCAGCAGAACCAGCCATTCACCTGACAGTCACTGTGAGGGCTCAGCATTCCCAGAGACCTTTTATTAGTCTGATAGAAGGCCTGTTCCTGGAATGGGTGAAGTCAAACTGTGGGCAATAAAGACGCAGTTTTATTGAAGGTCGGTTTTAAACAGAACTCAATCTTTGTTCTGAAGAGTTTCATAACAAATGAAACACATTTACATGCATTTAAACAGAGGCTCCATAAAATGAAGCAGTTGGCACTTCAGCAGGGGAGATTCTGCCACCCATGGGAGCACTAGACCCCACTCCCTAGTAACGCCACAATAGTCAACAGCATAAAGACAAAATGGTGGGCCCAGCACAGGTGGCCTAGTGGCTAAGGTCCTCACTTTGCACGTGCTAGGATCCCATATGGGTGCTGCTTCTAATACCAGCAGCCCTGCTTCCCATCCAGCTCACTGCTTGTGGCCTGGGAAAGCAGTCAAGGACAGTCCAAAGCCTTGGGACCCTGCACCTATGAGGGAGATCCAGAAAAGGCTCTGGGCTTCTGGCTTTGGATTAAAGCAGTTCCAACCATTGCAGCCACCTGAGTGAATCAACAGACGAAAGATCTTCCTCTCCTCCATATCTGACTTATCAATAAAAAATTTAAAAATGACTTAGTGGTCCTGCATCCTGGCCCAATCCTTGCCAGCTACCATCACGTAGGACTATCCCCTTGCACATCAGTCCTACAGGATTCCCAAGCCAACTTGTCCCCTTTTAAGTTCTCAATAAACTATTCAACCTCTTGAAAAGTACAAACATTGGCCAAAAATGAAAAACCCAAAACCTTGACAGATGAACTATTCTTTACAGAACAATGGCAATTAACACAGGACCTAGGAATGTAGATCCTAAAGACAGTATAAAGCTTTATACTGTGTAGGCATATGTACTTCTGAGCTGAAGTTTGTCACCAAAGCCAAATCCCCTTTGAGCTCAGATGCAGGATTACTCGAGTTTGCATAGGACACAAACATTACCATCATACGTACTTTCCATGTGCAAGACAAAACCTTACACATCAGGAAAACAGCACAAGGGAAGGTCCTCTTCTAAACCCACTATCCTGAACCGGAAGACAACCCCAGTGCTGCTAACCAAGAGCCTTCATTTCACTGAATGACCACATGTAGAATTATTCCCCATTAGCTCTGCCTGGGTCCTCCCACTGCGCTCTTGCAAATACAAGAATGGGTCCAACAGGGTAAATAACGTCCACAGACCAACACCCTCCTCAGGCTTGAAGAGTGGCCTTCTAGTCAGGTTTTGTCTTTGTGCAAGACTTTATTAAAGATCTGTTACAAAGTATCATCCAAACGCCATACAGCTGCCAAGGAGACCCTGAAACCAAAATAAAGCACAACAGAGTAAGAGAAGCCATCTGAGTATTAGGTTTCTTCATCTACCAAAAAGATACACTTAGTCCCACTTATAGCTTGCCTGAAAATTAACAGTAAGTTACAGAGAGCACCCGGAAACAAAAACTCCCAATGTGCTGGGCATAGGTGGCTTGGAACTGCCACTTTCAGTACACAAAGGGACAAAAAATTATTACCTAAGTAGCAGGACCTAATTACTACAGAGTGCTTTAAAAGAATTTCAGTAAAGGAGCCGTTTCAAGCTCTGTAACCTAAACAGGAACTCCTAACAGAGGCAGATGCTATCTAACAGAACGATGGACTAAATGAACTCCAACCTGGATTTTCCCGTAAGAAACAAACATAATCCAATTGTTATTCTCAAGTGCCAAGTGTCCCTGGAGACATACCTGTTAAGCTGTGGGGACTGGCTGGGGCATAGCAGGCGGCTCTGGCTTCCCACCCTTCTGCTCTGAGATGGGGGTGGTGGGCAGGATCTCATCTTTGGGTTCCACAATGCTCACGTGGTCAGGCAGGGGCTTCTTAGGACCAATCTTGCCACTTGGGTCCCAGGGCAGCATGATCTTCACTTTGATGCCCAGCACACCTAGGAAGCAGCACAATCTGGACCTTACTGGAGTTTTACCAACCCTCACTGAACAGAAGGCAATTTACCAAAAAACCCTGGATTCTGGTCCCTTCTCAGACAAATGCCTCTAAATCAATCACTGAACAGGGCACTTGTGCAAAAGGTACCCATGCACAGCACCACAGAACATGGCACTGACAAGGACCAAGAGCAGGATGTGACCTTTCTGACTCGTCATCGTGTCATCACCGAAGGGCACACAGATGGCTAAAACAAGAACTAAGCAACTTGTTGATCTCGCTCATCAGCAATGTCAATTCCTGCAGTTCAAGGCAAGTTGGCAATAAACCCTGGCTACTTTCAAGGTGAGTTTCCCTGAAACTCTTCCAACACCCAGTCACGAACACCCCTGCCCCAAGCATTCTCAGTGGCTCACCCTGTCTGAGTAGCACGTGGCGAACAGCTGTGTCGACATAGTAGTTCACGGGGTCCCCACTGTGGATCATCAGGCCATCCACAAACTTCATGGACTTGGCCCTTTGTCCTCGGAGCTTCCCAGAGACCACAACCTCACAGCCCTTGGCTCCGCTCTCCATGATGAATCGCAGCACACCATAGCAGGCCCTTAGGAAGAACAGGGAGAGAAACGGGGTTACTAGCCAAGACAGAAAATATTCCACAAATTAGAAATGTTTTCACTATCCCTTTAATGGAGATTAACTTTGATAAGAGCCTGACTATAAAAACCAGCTGTGCTTTCCTCTTCCTATACCTGAGGCTAATCTTCCCAGGAAATGCCAGTGCTTGTTAACCTCAGCAAGTCAACCCAGACTTCAAAATTAAAAAAAAAAAGGTTCCCTATCCCCTGGAGTAGCCAAAGTTGAGAAATACTTAGAAGCTTTACACACTCTGTCACTTAGCAGTTTCCTTAACTACTCTTGGGGCCCTGCAGCCCATATTAGTACCAGGGATCCCAACTTGCTTCCCATACAGACACCTCTTGTACTGGCACAAGTTTTGCGTCTTGGCTGCTTCACTTCCTTTTCAATTCCCTGCTAATATAACCGGGGAAGGAGCAGAAGATTGACCAAGTACTTGGGCCTGTCGTCTATATCAGAAACCCAGCTGAAGTTCCTGGCTCCTGGTTTCAGCCTGGGATAGAAGCAGCCGTTGCAGCCACTGGGGAAGTAAGCAGGGCCAACGCCTTGCCCTGCTGTGCCTCTCAAAATTCAGCAACTTGTTTAAGTCTCAGAAATTCTAACTCAAAATATCCATGTGCACAAAATTTACACAGCAGAACTTAAGTGACCGCTGAGCCATCCTCCCAATTCAACAGATGTGAGGTGAAAATGTTTATTTCTTAGCAAATTCCCAGATGGCAATATTAACCCAGAAACCAAATTTTGAGAACTCCTGTTACAGGTAGAACCAGCCTTCAACCCATGTAAGCCTGTAACACACCTGGCAAGTCTGCTAAATAATCCCAGTGCTCTACATGCTGATGAAATTCCAAAACACCCAGGCAAGGCATTCCAACTACTTCAGAGAACAGCCAATCAAAACCTTGCTGGCAAGCCTAACTGTGTAGGCACCGAATTCCATCACTATCTACACACAGCCCACAGAATTATTCATCCCAATTTTAAGTTCTCTCATCAGGAATGCTTTCCCTTCTTACAGTTGTCAACTGGAGTAAGTCACTGATGGGTCACTCTGCCTTCTCCCCCACTAAAGTTCCCACCCAGGATACTTCAACCTTATCCAAGGACCAAGGTGACCTGGCCCCTCCTTGGACATTTTTCTTTCTGCTCTACACCAAAAAAACTTCTCCAACTCCCAGGATTTTGCTTCCTCGCCGGTCTTCCCAATCTTAATTCAGCAAAAGCACAAAGAAAGTAACAGTACTCTTTAACTCCTGACTAGCAGATTCTGCCACAACAGAGTTCAGGTGCTAAATTAACAGACGGCACACAACACATTCTGCTGCACGGTCAGGAGGCCCCAACACACTTACCTCCGCACAGCAAGCCCTCCCAGGAGTTTGTAGCGCAGGGATTCTGCCTGGGCAATGGCACACAGGCCTCTCGTGGCCACCTTTTCAGCATACAGCTTTAAAGGAACCAAAGCACACGGTCACCTTCACCCCATTTTCAATGATGAGCGTTCCTACATTCCATATACAAAACAATGGTGCAGGGTTTGCAGAAATTGGGATTCAAAGCTAAGCTCGTTTCAGTGCAAATATTTTTGAAATGCATGCATGAACAGTCATAAAAAAATAAATTATTTTTTAATTCCAGTTTCCTAAAACCCTCCTGAATTCTATCATAATAGCCTCCTTCAAGCAGAACACTTCTGCTGCCCACATGTGGAACAGACACAAGCCCACCAAAGCCCTGTGGCTCCTCCTACAGCCAAAGCAGGGAGACCAATGGCCCAGCAGGACCCGCTGTGTCATGTGTGTTATAACCCTAGTTATGCACAAAACCCTTAACCACCAGAATTGAGCTCAAGAGGGCTGGAAAACCAAGCCCGCTGCTTACTGAGAACTTCAGCCAATACTAGCCCCAACTGTAATACCCACTTGTGACTCAGAGAGGGGAAGCACCATTCCATATCCATAACCCCTGGCCTGAGGGAGGACCACTCACCTCCACACTGCCCTCGGGGAAGCCAAACCGCTTCTGCACAACCGCGGTCAACTCCCGGATTCGCCGGCCCTTCTCGCCAAGCACGTTCTGCGTCCTGCGGGCACAGAGACCACCGATGCCGACCCTCACAACATCCTAGGCCAAAACTTGCCTAGGGTATGTGGGCAGAGCAACCCATGCACTTGCGATAATGCATGCAGCCGAACCCCCTCACTCAACGAGATTCTTTTCTTCTTACCTGGTGGCTAAAATAATGATTTCTGTCCTGGTTGGCGTCACTCGGACCTCCACTCCGGAGTAGCCATCTTCAGCCAGCTCGCGGGTCAGGAACTCGTTCAGCTCGGCTTTGAAGATGCCATCGGCTACGAACTGACAAAAAAAACAAAGGTGAGAGTCACGTTTCCCTGGTCCCCCGCAAGCTCCTCCATGCCGTCAGCCCTGCAAGGCCCGCTCCTACAGGGACGCCGCAGCCATTCTCAGACAAATGCCTCGAGGTCATCTTCGGGAAGGTCCTCTCCCGGGGTCGCAGAACGCCAACCCCGGAGAAGAGAGCACGCCCCGGTCAGCCTCGTCATCGCCTCCTCACAGAAGAGCTGAGCGTTCACAGGGGAGACCCCGCCGGGGCCCCCGGTCCCGGCTCCCCGCCCGCACGCGGGACTCGAACCCGCGATGTGTGTCACACGCAGCGTCTTCCAGACCCTACACACGGCCCGACAAAGCCTCACAAGCGCCATCTCGGGGACAGTGGAGTCGCCCCATGCTCATCCCGGCACTCTGTCCAGTTCCTAGTCTTTCTCCGCTCCCGGCCACACTAGCCCGCGCTCGCCCGGCGCCGGGCCCAGCACGTAATCCGCCGCCATCCGCGGCCCCACGGCAACATCAGGCGGCCCAGGCCACGTCCCAAGAAAGAACAAGGGGTCGCATCTCTCGCGCCTGCAGCTCCGCAATCCCCGAACCCCACGGCATGGCAGTTCCCCGGACTCGGGATCCAGAACCTCACCTTTCTCTTCTTAGAGATCTGCACCGCCATCTTGACGCCGCTCGCAGCCGAAAGGAAAGGAAGTAACTCGCTGGCGGAAATGGGTATAAACGGCTCGGCGCGATGACGAAAAAGCGCGCGCGTCGACGACTGCGAGCGCTCATGGGAAATGTAGTTTTAACTCAATAGAGCACCTGTAGTTCAGAACTACAAGGCAGTCCTAGCCTCCAGGTCTCTACTTATAAAAATGAGGAAGAAGAGGCACAAAGATACAGCAAGAGTTTGACCAGCGTGGAACCCTAGTGGGAACTAAGCACAAGGGCCAGGGAAGGGAAAAAGAAGTGAATGTGGGTGAGCATTTAAGCCCTACTTTATTATTATTATTATTATTATTATTATTAAAAGATCTTCCATCCATTGGTTCACTCCCCAAATGGCCACAACAACACAGGTGAGCCGAATCAAAGCCAGGAGCCAGGAGCTTCTTTCTGGTCTCCCACACGGGTACAGGGGTCCAAGATTTTGGGCTGTCCTTGATTGCTATCCCAGGCCTTAAGTCTTACTTTAAGATGCAGGTTAAGTTATGTACCTCCCACGTAGCAGTGCTGGGTGTGGTATCTAACTCCAGCTTCCTGGTAAGAGAAGCCCTGTGAGGCAGCAGGAATGGCTCCAGTGGTGGCTCCTGCCGTTCACGTGGGAGTCTAGACGAGTTCCCAGTTTCTAGCTTTGGTGGATCTGGGCCCAACTGCTGCAGGCCTTTGGAGAATAAACCAGTGGATGGAAAGTCTTCCTATTTTGTTCTGTGTGTGTCTTTCTTAAAGAAGTGGATGAACCAAAAATCAAAGGTAAGATAAGTCCCAAATGAACGGGTTCAGCCTGCCTGGGAAAGCAGCAGAGAGGATGGCTCAAGTCCTTGGTTGTCTGCAAGCACAGGGAGACCCGAAAGAGGCGCCTGGCTGCCTGGTTTCACACTGGCTCAGCTGTGGCCAATGCAGCCAGTTGAGGAGTGAGCAAACAAATCTGTCTCTCCCTTTCTCTCTCTGTATACTCTTCCTTTCAAATACATAAATAAGAAATTAAAATAAGACCCAGCGCGATAGTATAGCAGTTGAAGTCATCACCTTGAATGGGCCAGGATCCCATATGGTCACCGGTTCTAATCCCAGCTGCTCCACTTCCCATCCAGCTCCCTGCCTGTGGCCTGGGAGAGCAATTGAGGATGGCCCAAAGCCTTGGTACCCTACACCCAAGTGGGAGACCTGGAAGAAGCTCCTGGCTCCTGGCTTCGGATTGGCTTAGCTCCAGCTGTTGCGGCCGCTTGGGGAGTGAATCATCAGATGCAAGATTTTCCTCTCTGTCTTTCCTCCTCTCTGTATATCTGATTTTGTAATAAAAATAAATAAATCTTTAAAAAATTAAAATAAAACTTTGTTCTGTTTGTGTGTGCTTTTTTCACATCACTTTTGGAAAAATCTCATGTTTGTGGCTCTTTTTTAAGAAAGACATTTATTTTTATTTGAAAGGCAGAGTTACAGAGAGGAGAGACCTTCCATCCACTGGTTCAGAGCTTAAATGGCTACAGGCTGGGACTGTGCTGGTTGGAAGCCAGGAGAGCAAGGAGCTAGATCAGAAGTAGAGCAGCCAAGACTTGAACCAGAGTGTATATAAGACATTGCAGGCAGTAACTTTCTATGCCACAATGCCAGCCTTTCAGAAGTGAGATTCTGCTTAGCCGGGTTCCTGGGGCCCAGTATGGCACGGAGACTCAGTCTGAGGAAGGGCAGGAGCCTGGGTAAGGGGAGCGCAGGTTTGTTTCTGCTGATCTGAAGTCAGGGAGATGAGACCGCCTTGGCCTGCTTGTTCACACACACACACACACGCACACACGCCTCATCCACCCACTGAGACCAAGGTTCAGGGAATGACAAGAAGCGAGCTGGTGAGTGCAAACACAGTCTCAAGCAGCTTTTCCTGAGCAAGCTGCCTGTATGGTTGCTAATCTGCAAATGTGGTCTTTACAGCGGTCCAACACACCTTCTGGATGCTACCGTAAAGCATCAGCTGTAGAGCAGCAGCAGCACTGGGCCTGCTGCCTCCCTGCCCGAGGGCCAGCCCACAGCCGCCAGGCGTGGACCGGAGGCAGAAACAGGGAGTGGGTCCTCCATCCAGGTGCTCCATGTGTGTAGCAGGGACTCGGCCACTTGAGCTGCCCCCGCTGTTGCCCAGGGTGTGCATTAACAGGAAGCTGAAGTCAGGAGCTGGAACTGTGTAACCAACCCAGGTACCCCCGCCCCCTCCCGCTCCAAGCATCTTGATTCTTGGACCAATCATCTGCACCCTGCTCCCACCTAGGATTATTCATTCAACACAGACCCCAGGGAACCCAAAGCCCTCAGTTTCTCCAGCGGGCTAGCAAGAGGACCTTCCCTGGACCCAGGAAGGCCAGCGGCGAGAGGACAGTCCAGGGGCCACGCTGTCGGACACCTTTTGAAGGGAGCGCAGCGGGGACAGGTGTGTGCCGCCTTTCCTAGGCGGGCTCTTCCTGGCGCGCGTTTCTGCGCCCTCCGGTGGCCGTGGCCGACAGACGCCTCGTCGCGGGCTTTCCCAGAAACTGCGGGGCGCTTCCCGCCCTCAGGTGAGCCCCTTTAGGGGATCTGAGAGCAAGAAGGGATAGGCCGGGCTGCAAGAGGGGAGCCTCCGAGCATGCCACCGCGTCCTCCGCTGGGGTGATGAGCCAGGGCTGCCAACTGCCCCACTGCCTGCCCAAGTCAAAGCCGCCTGTCGATGCCCTGGTTAGCACGGGGCCTAGGCAGCAGAGGGCGCTCTGTTTTTAGATTTACTTTTCGTTTCTCTAAGCGAGAGAGCCAAGAGCAAGAGTTTCTACAAACGACTGAAAACAGAAACCTGGATCTCCATCTGGGTCTCCCACGTGGATGGTACCGGCCCAAACATTTGGCCATTCTCTGCTGGCTTCCCAGGCACATTAGCAAGAGTTGGAGCAGGAGCAGAGCGGGCAGGACTTGAACCCAAGATTCTGATGTAAGATGCTAGCATCACAAGCTGAGGTTTAACTTGCCAGCTGGGGATCCGGGTTTCTTTTGTGCCCTTTGAGTGTTGTGGAACTTTAAGCTGGGAAGATTTTATACCTAAGTTTAAATAAACTTGGAAAGGCTGTAATTTCTGGCATTATCATTCTATCAAACCTTTAAGGCAGTTAGTCACTCTTCAAGTACTGGATCTGTAAGAGTGTAACTGTCACAGTGGCTTGCTACCCATAATTAACTACTGAAGACATTTTGTGTTGCCTTCTTCCCCCCTAGCCCCATCCCTTGAATTTGTATTTCCATCCCACATGACCCTGGGAATGTCTTCGTGCAGCCTGGAAAATGTGAAGTTCCCAGTGGAGCTGACCCATCACCTAGCCTACATCCATTCCCCTTGTCCTGGTTGGCTCAGTGACCTGGGCTGGCTTTGCCGAGGACTTTTCCAGGAAGATCCTGACCAGCTGGCCATTTTCCCAGCCATGTGACCCATGAAAATTAGTTTCATGAAAAGTTCCATTTCCTTTGTTGAGGCATCAGGAAGGATCTGAATGGAGGTTTTGGGATGCAGGGGGCAAATGGCACCTCGGCACATGGCGGCTTGCACAAACAACACTTCATTTCAAAGCCCACTGGTTAGTTTACAATGTGGCAGGCACTGGGCTGCGGTATTTATGAAATGCTTGCCCCATAATGCTGTCATGTCCAGGTTGGGCAACACTTGTTGCTCAGTGTAGAAACAGAGAAAAATGTGAGAGAAGGCAAAAATGAAGGGGGGTTGGCTTGTGACAAACAACAGGAGCTCCTGGAGGGAACCCAGAGCTGGACATTGATCATCCCAGTGGGGGTGGCCTTGTGAAATTTCCTTCTTCCTTTTGGTTGGATCTCTCCTTGATCCACTCTTTGCCCTGGAAATGCCTAGCTCTTCAGAGCTAGTTTGAACAAATCAGTCCTCCTTTGAAGAAGAAACATTTGGGGCCAGCAAGGTGGCATAGTAGGCTAAGCCTCTGCCTGTGACACTGGCACCCAATATTGGTGCTACTTCAAGTCTTGGCTCCTCCACTTTCAATCCAGCTCCCTGCTAACGCACCTGGGAAAGTAGCAGATGGTGGCCCAAGTCATTGGGTTCTTGCCATCAATGAAGGAGACCTGGAAGAAAATTCTGGCTTTGGATTGGCTCTGGCAAATGCTGAGGTGATGCAGGCCATGCCAGATTGGGCCGCAGCACCCAACCAACACTTATGAGACATGGGGGAGAGTGGACAAACCCAGTAGGGGGGCTGCAAGGAGTTCCCTGCTGGGGCACTATTCCTGTTGAACATGAGATCTGGAATGGGGGCAGACCAGGCTGGGCAGGGCTACAACACCTATTGGCCTGCATGTAAGCTGGATCAGAGACAAGCCAGGCTGGGCTGACTGTACCTGGTACATGCATAAGCCAGAGTGGGTGAGGGTTGATTGGGCTTTGTCACAGCATCTGCTGGCAGATACTGGCACAGGAGAAAAATTATGTTGAGCTAAACTGCAGAACCACCTGGAGAGTGGAAGATCCAGGAATGGGAGTGGACCCAGTAGGGAAACAGTGGGCACCTCCCTCTTGGGATGGCATTCTGACTAGTGAGAACTAGAACCAGGACTGGGACAGGCATGGCTAGACAGAGTGGTACCCACCAGCGTGTGTGTGGGCTGGATAGTGAGTCTGGTTGGGTTGAACTAGGCTTCAATGCCCATTGACACATATGAGAGCTAAATTGGATGTGGGACAGACAGGATCAGCCTGTTGTACATATTGGCAAGCACGGGAACAAGGGCAGGAGGTGGACCTGGTGGGGGTTATTGCGGGTCACTCCAACTAGGTTATAGCTCCCACTGGTTTTCATGGGGGCCAAGTGTGCTGTGGGTAGGATTGGGCTGGGCTGCAATACTCATTAGTTTGCGTAGAAAACAGGGCCAGAGACAACTGACCCAGCAGAGTCAGACCCAACTAACAGAGTGTGTGTAGACTGATTTGGGTGATGAACTGTGCCAGACCCTGTA